CCTTCTTCCCGTGCCCGTATGGCTTCTGCTGTTGCCCATCTTCTCCAGATCAGGGCCATCGAGCCTGTTCCTCCTTCGGAGCGCAGGTCCGGTTTCTACTCCCGTCTGTTTCTCGTCCCCAAGTCCTCTGGGGGCTGGCGTGCCATTTTGGACCTGAAATCATTGAACCGCTTCATAACCTACCGCAGGTTCAAGATGCACTCCCTGCAAACTATTTTGGAGTGCATTCATGAGGGTGACTTCCTTGCCTCGGTTGACTTGACCGAGGCCTATTTGCACGTCCCCATTTTTCCACCCCACCGCAAATTCCTCCATTTTTATTTTAAGGGCTCTCATTATCAATATAGGGCTCTTCCCTTTGGCCTCTCTTCGGCTCCCAGGGTCTTTACTAAGTTGATGGCGGCCCTCGTCGCCCATATTAGGTCCCTCCCCATTCGTATTTTATTCTACCTGGATGATATTCTTATCCTCTCCTCCTCCCTTCCCGGGGCTCGGCAGGATATCTCAACTTCTATCCGTTTGTTTGAATCTCATGGTTTCCTAATCAATTGGGCCAAAAGTTCTCTGACCCCCTCAACCCGTCTCCAGCATTTAGGGGCTGTCATAGACACTGTTTCATCTATGGTGTTTCTCTCACCGTCACGCCAGTCCAGCTTATCTGACCTGGCTTCTCAATGCCTGGAAGGCGGGCCCATGTCCGTCCTCGTCCTTTCTCGTCTTCTGGGCAAAATGGTGTCCTCCTTCGACATCGTCCCCTTGTCCCGTTTGCATAGCAGGCGCCTCCAATGGTTCCTCCTCCCCTTTCAGCGTTCTCTGTCTGTTTCCTCGTTGCGCAAAGTTTTCCTTCCTTCGAAGGTTTTGGACTCCTTAAGGTGGTGGTCTTCTTCGGCACTTGCCAATGGTACCTTGTTTAGGGAACCTCATCGGTCGGTTCTTACTACCGATGCGAGCCTTTCCGGCTGGGGTGCGCATTTAGATTCCCATATGGTTCAGGGTCTTTGGACTGAAGCGGAGAGGGATTTTTCTATTAATCTTTTGGAATTACGGGCGATTTTCCTCGCCTTACATCATTTTCTTCCCTTGCTTCAGGGTAAGCATGTCCTTGTGTTAACCGATAATGTCTCCGCCAAGGCCCATGTTAATAGACAGGGTGGTACCTGCTCTAGGTCCCTTTTCTACGAATCCCTGCAACTCGGCCTCTGGGCCGAGTCTCACTTAGCCTCTCTAAAGGCTTCTCACATTTCTGGCAAGTCTAACATTCAGGCTGATTCTCTTAGTCGCAATTTGGTGGACCATTCTGAATGGCAACTTCACCCTGATCTCTTCCTGGAGCTTTCTCACCGCTTTGGTCTTCCCGAGGTGGACTTGTTCGCTTCCCACGTCAACCATCAGGTTCCTCGTTTCCTTTCCAGATTTCCGTCCCCAGGGGCAGAAGCGGTGGATGCCCTTCGCTCTCCCTGGCCTCGGGGGGTGCTTCTTTATGCCTTCCCTCCCCTGCCACTCATCGCCAAGGTCCTCAGGAAACTCCTAGCGGAGAAGTCGGAGCTGGTCCTCATAGCTCCACACTGGCCCCGCCGGCCCTGGTTTTCAGACCTGGTCTCCCTGTCCACAGCCAGTCCCTGGCAAATACCGGACGATCGAATTTGCCTTCTGAAAGGGGCTCTGGTCCATCCCGAGCCCCAATGGCTACAACTAACCGTTTGGAGACTGAACGGGGATTCTTGACGAGGGCCAATATTCCTCCTGCCGCCATTAGAACCATCCAGGCCGTGCGGCGCCCTTCCACCGCCCGTATTTACGAGTCTACCTGGCGCTCCTTTTCATCATGGTGCTCGGCCCGCCAGGTTTGCCCGACTTCGCCTTCGGTGGAGCACATCATCGGTTTTCTCCAGGACGGCTTCGACTCCGGCCTTGCCCCCTCTACTCTGAAGCGTCAGGTCGCGGCCTTGGCTTCCATCTCTGCATGTGCTTCTCTGACAACTGTTACCAAGGATCCCTTGATCCGCCAATTTCTGCGGGGCGCTTCAAACCTGAGTCCTCCGGTCATTCACCATTTCCCTACCTGGGATCTCTCAAAGGTTTTGTCCTCCCTCACTCAATCGCCCTTCGAACCTCTCCGGACGACTTCCTTGAAATTTCTCTCCTTTAAAGTGTCGTTCTTGGTGGCGGTTACATCCGCCCGTCGCATCTCCGAGCTGGCCGCTTTGTCAATCCGACAAGACTTATGTGTTTTCCATCACGACAAGGTAGTACTCCATTTGGACCCCACGTTCCTTCCCAAAGTGAACTCTGTGTACCATCAATCGCAGGAAATCGCCTTGCCCAAATTTTGCCCTCACCTGTCTCACCGGCTCGAGAAAATGTGGCACAAGCTCGACGTCCGCAGGGCCTTGCGGATCTACCTTTCTTGTTCTGCCTCTTTTCGTAAAACGGAAGCCTTATTCGTCTCGTTCCAACCTACTATGATGGGAACCAAGGTTTCTGCTCCAACCTTGGGCCGATGGATCCGGGCCACAATTGCCTTTTCCTACGAGTCACAATCGCTTGCGGTTCCCAACAGGGTGACTGCACATTCCACCAGGAGTGCAGCCACCTCCGCTGCTTGGGCTACTCAAGCGTCCTTGGAAGAAGTCTGCAGGGCGGCGACTTGGTCTACCCCGACACCTTTTATTAGACACTACCGTCTGGACGTCTACGCGTCGGCTGATGCGGCGTTCGGCAGACAGGTCCTGCAACGGGTCCATGTTTCCTGATCTGAGGCTCGCCCGAGCACTGCCCTCCCGTTGGACATCAAGCTTTGGTATGTCCCAGTGCTGCCTGCCGTTCCCAACCAGGGAGGAGAAAGGGCATTGGTTCTACCTGATACGCCCGTTCTCTCCCGTGGGAGGGAACGGCAGGCAGCCCCCTCCCTATTGGGGCTGCGCCTTCGGGTGTCGGGGCGGGGTGGGTTGTACTTACCTTTTCTTTCTATCAGCAGGAGACACACAACAGTCTGCAGTGATTACCTCGCCGATAAACTGGAGAGAGCAGCAGGAAGGGCGGGGCTAAGCTTCATTGCAGACCCGGTCCTGATTGGTCTACTGACTGAGCCTACCCAGTGCTGCCTGCCGTTCCCTCCCGCGGGAGAGAACGGGCGTATCAGGTAGGACCAACGCCCTTTTTCAAGTATTTCAAAAGGAGATAATCTAATTTGTTTACGTGGAGTACATCGCACAGACCAAAGTGCTAGTGGTAATGCATCCACCCACTTAAGGTGATTTTCAAGGCACACCTTTGTCACCTTTTCTCTTATAGTCCTGTTCATTTTTTCAACCTTTTCATTCAAAAGTAAATAATTTCTGACTACCCTTTCTTTAATGTCTGCTTGGTGGTAAGACTAGTCAATCAGGCTTGGGAAGGTCTGCTCCACTCTGGTTGCTGTGATGACCTGCATACAGTTGTGTTCAATTTCAGGACCCGATGCTTGCAAAAGAGTGGCTGTGTTAAAGCATTTGTTTGTTTCAGGGTCACTCATGGGTCCTGAGTGAGGAGAGCTTGATGCTTGTAAATTCTGGGGTTTGTCAGCCATAAATGGCCCTTTGTCTCTAAAACTCCTTGAATCGCATGGCTGGTGTAACTGGTTCTGCAATTCGACAGACAGCTTCCTTCCTCACATGTTCTGGTGGGTTATCTTCTGCCCATAACTCCGGTACTTCAAACTCCTGCCAGGTATTGGGGTTTTGACCCTCTTGAGCCAACATTACTCGCCATATTTCATCTGGGGGGGTGGCTCATTATTAATGGTAGTTGGCTGCCCAAAGGTTAATTTATTAGCTTCCGCTACTCCTAAAATCCTCGCAACTCTCTCCTATTAGTTGACATCTTGTCTTCATCAAAGGACAGAATAGCTCCCATCTCATATAGGATGTCACGACCCAGGAGGGAAACTGGACACTCAGGCATATAGAGAAACTGGTGTTCTATATTTCTTCCATCTAGGGAATATTTCAGGGGTTTCAGCATGGGGCAACAATTTATGAAGCCATTAACCCTTTGGATATTTATTACATCATTAGAAAAGGGAGCCAGCAGCTTTGTAATTACAGATCTAGATGACCCTGTGTTTATTAAGACAGTTACATTATTCCTCCCTATTTTCATTCGGACCAAGGGTTCAGGGGGGGCTTGACTGAACCCTGGTCCCTTTCAGTCTTCAGGCCTCTCATCTACTGCAGCCAGGTCTATGGCTTCCTTTCTTTACAGAATGTCTTTGCAACTTTTCTTCAAATGAAGATTGAGCTCACTAGGCTGAGAAGCAACTTGTATCATACAATTTCAATTTCCACGGAGGACATGTGGCTCTGCTTGCTTTGTGCTAAAACAAGGCCTTTCTCGTTTTACTGCCAAGGTAATCTTCTAAAACAACATACACACAACTTTGCAAAGATGATTCAAACATGCAGCCCTGGGCCCCTTTATTGCAGGGCGATCTTCTTAGCTAACACAAGAACTGTCTTTCCTCTTTCTGTCCTTTTACTGCTGAGTAGAATACTTTACTCAGTTAAATCCAAATGGAATTTGGGATGCAAAGAGAAGGAAAGCAAGTTTTGTCACTTTTGTGGCTAAGCAAAGGTATGCAAACAAAGTCTTTTTATAAGTTGTGCGCAGAGAAGAGATGCATTTTCACTCAAACAGAATGTCCATCAATGCTCCAAGAGAAAGAAAGCGAGGGTCCCTTCTTGGAAACTGTTGGTCTAATATAGCCTGGAGGTTTTCCCTGTCTGTGGATTTTAAAATCTTAGCAATGGCACTACTTAATCTCTCTCTCTCTTCACCATTAAGGAGAGTGGTCATCAACTGTTCCAAGTCTTGCCAGGTAGGATTGTGGTTCTTTATATTGACTTTAAACAGGTCCACAACCTCTTGAGGTTTAGCTGACAGTGGTCCATAATGTTGTTTCCAATTTAATAGGTCTGTTGTAGTAACGGGACATACTAGAACAGAGGCTGAATCTCTGCCTGGCCTTGACCATCTATGATTCTTTGATCTGTTTGATGGAGTAGGGCCAAAAACTGGCTTCTGGTTCGGGCAGCAATGGGAGAAGTCCACTGAGGCGACAGAGGAGGGAATTTAAGAGAAGTCCTTTCCATCTTAGGTGTCTCCCTCTAGCTATTTCACTTTGTCCCTTCTGGTGTCCCTTGCAATGCATCACTGCTTCTGTCTTTGGCATCTTGACAGCAGCTATGAGTCTCTCAATTAGAAAGTTTAATTTCTTTTCCTGGTGCTGTTAAGAGCCACCTCTCCTTATCTCCACTGGAACCATGTGCTTTGCTTCCACGGATCTGAGTCATCCATGCAGGGCTAAAAGACATGAGAACGAGGTTCCCTCCCCCCTTTGTGGGTGAGAAAAAGCATTGCAGAATTAGAAAAGGGCGGGGGTAGATAGCTTGTGGTCAAAGTTTGAAAGTACAGCAACACATCAGTATTGTAGTTAAGTGAACTTAAAACGTATCCTCATAAACTTGAGTTTATCTTGAAGCACAGAGAAGAAAGAAAAGTTGAATTCTGTTCTTCACCCTGTCTAGATGACCAGACCAAACTGGGTGAGTCATTTTCCTTCCTCTCATCGCTTTCAACTCTTTTTAACAATTTAAAATTCATATCTTTAGAGATCAGGCATTTAACAGTTGCGATTACCTTGAAGGTACACAAAAGACTTAGACATACACACTAGTCATTCCTGCCTTAAATTTCAGTTGAATTAGAGAAGGCACAGATCTTAACAAAATAATTTTTAACAAATCATATCAAATTAATCAATTCAAATTATCTGAGTCTTCCCATTTAGACAGCCTTTTTTTTTTATTACCTGCTAAACCCCGGGTGGGAAGAATTTCTTCTCTATTCTTAGTTCTTTCAGAGTTCTCTGGCTCTTTTAAGAATGGTAAATTATCAGAATCTTTATAACACTGCAGTATTTCTTTTCTCCTACTCTGGGTTCCTCCTACCACACATAACAGCATAAACTAACCATATCTTCTTTGGTCAGCCCCAACATCTGAATCATCTTACTGTATGGTGGGGCTTCTCAATTTCTAAATATTTTTCCTTTAAGGACTAGTCGGGTCTATTACAGTTTGGGATTTTTCCTAATTGTTTTAGTGAACTTCTCACTTTTTACTCAAGATTACATCTATTGTTCTATCTTCTCAAGCACTGGATTGCCTCTGCCCTGGGGATGTTCTGTCTAGCTCTTTCTATTTAGATCTCCCAACAGGCGCTGGCTATTTTTAAAGATCCAAAATGTATAGAGACTTTTGTTCACACATCATTTGCACTTAGCCAGGGCCCTCAGGGGCAAGTTTGAACTCCACTTTTCTTTTAAGGACCTTTATTTTGCCAAATTGGTTTTCCTGTGTCATCCCTCAGCAAAACCCATTTCCTACATCTGTTTCCTCTCTTCTTCAGGCTGGCCAGGACAGGCATCTGCCTCTCATCGTATGCCTCAAACAAGTTTCCTAAAGAGGTATCTACCATCCTCGAGCTGCAATTTCCCATGTTTCCCCTTGCTATGTGGGGTTTTACACTTTGGTTCAGCCGGGCTACACAACATCAGTTCTGCCACTGATTCTCAGACCCCTCTTATAAACAGAAATCTGGGAGACCTGCTGCCCCCAACACAGACTATGGACACCTTCTACACTTCACAGCTTCACAATTTCCTAAAAATCCTGTGGTTTGCTTTTGGGATTTTCTCAGGAAAAAAAAGGAACAACCATTTTTCTTTTTTCACTTGCATGGGCAAATAGTGAGTGGAGGCTATCGATGTAAGCTATGCACTGAAGTGCTTCTGCTTTAGAGTATCTGGGGCTCAGTCCCCTTGGCATTTGCAATGCTACACAAACTGTCATTTCAGGGTGGTCTCTCCTCTTCATAGGTTGCAGTCTTTAAGATAGTTTTTTTTTCAGGGTGGCTCCTTCTGACCTGACATTTGGGATTTCCTCTCACTCGAGCCACACAGACTTGCATGACTTCTACTTGGCATTTGTGAAGTCAGTCAGGGTTCTGTTTCACTACTATTTGCCACTCATTTTCTAAGACACTGCCACTGACCTATGGCGATAGGAACTGCAATGGCTTAACCACCCACACAATTCTAGAGTCTCATTAGGACACACTGGTTCTGTTAGGAAGGGACGTTTCCCAGACCCAGGGAGGTGATCAAGCTCCCTCTTCCACTCTCAAGGAGTAGGCCTACAATTCCCACAATACTTGCCTGCAGGCATCTTTTTTTTGCTCTTTCTCAGCCAGCGTTTATCTATTAGCCTGTTTTGAACTCTCTCTTTTTTTTTTTTTTTTGGTTCTTGGGTCAGTTGGAGCCTTTGAGTACCCAGGAGGGCCATCTGCTTCCTTCCAGAGAAAAATTCTCAGTGGCGCCTTGAAGGTTGGGCAGGATGGCCCCACCTGGGCACTGGCTGGTCTTTTCCACCCGCTGCGAAATAATCACTTCAACTCCTGGCTGGCTTGCCAAAATGTTGCAGAAAAATAAAGGAGATGAATTTCAAAATCAAGAAAAGCTTTTATTTTGGCCAAAAGATTCAGACATGCATTCTGTTTACATTCTGAACAACGTGTTGATTCAGACATACATTCTTATAGTTAACAAAAACAGGAAGTATCTGAGATCTGCCTCTTTAGCTAGCCCACTCCCTTATTGCTTAGGCAGGAAGCTGGGTAACTCTGCAACTGTCTCTTTGCCTGTGGTTTGACTTCTTGAACTTTGCAACGGTAGAATAGTGAGTTAACCCTGCAGTTTGACTTTTTGAACCCAGCATCTGTCTCTTATAATTACTAGTTAAAGGACCTTTAGAGATCATTCAGGCTGACCCCGTATTATTTCACTCTTATATTCAAATTTCACTTTACGTCCTACTTTATTCCCCCCTTTAAGACTCTATTTTACTTGGTTACAATTGAGTCTTACCTATTACAGAACTTAATCAGCAAGCAAGCATATAATATTTGACATAACATAATCAATGCAGGATAAGATATATAATAATGCAAAGGAAAAGACAAGTAATACATGTGACTTTCAAATCTTAGTCTCTGAAGGCATTTTCTCTAGTCACCTAGTTGAGAGTTGTACATATGTTCCTGCATCAGAAACTTCATTTTCATCAAAGAAATCAGGGTCAATTTTACTTTCTATAAGGCTTTCCATCAAAATCAACTCTTTCTCAACTCTTATCTCCTTTACCGCTCTCATAGCTAGTTGTCTGAACAGAGGTATTGCACAAGGAATAAAGGCCAGGTCTGTCACAACAGAAATAACATCTGTTTAATCCAGCCAGGCCCAGGCAACCACAAGAGTCCTATGTCCTACTTTAATAGAACCACAAGAGTATAGTTCATTCCAAGAAACAAATCACATTCAAACAGTTTAGATAATTTATTTGATTGCTATACCAAAATATAGGTAGGAAGAATGACATAACACAAGAAGTAAGATTATGAGGTCAGAGCAATTTACCAAAAATTAGGCAACCAGCAAAGGAAGGCAGGAGAGGATGAAAAGTACGCTTCGTGGGGAAGGCAGGGAGGATAGGAGTCTGCAGGGAAAGGCACAGGCAGGCAGTTTAAGGCTCAGGCAGCAGAAACTTGGAGCTGCAGCGGGGGGAGGCAAGGCTCTCACAGGTGGTAGAGAGGAGAGAGAGGGAAATGCGCACACAGAGTGAAAGGAAGGAGGCCAGGGGAGGCTGAAAGGATATAGAGAAGTGGGGAAAACACACACTCATCTCTGTTTCCCTCTATGACCGGCCTTGCAAAAGCCTGCCCTCACAATCTGACTCCCTTTCTTCCAGCACTCGTTCAGGGAATCCCGGGAGTAACAGCATTGCATGCTTTTCACTCCAAGCAGCCCAGACTGGAAAACATGTGGCTGGGGTGGAGCAGTCCTTCTTAACAAGCTCTGAACCATTGCTGCTGCTCCAAGCCTGGCTCTGGCTGCAGGCATGCAATTGTGAGGGCAGGCTTTTCCGAGGCTGGTCATAGAGGGAAACAGATGAGTGCGCCTTGCCTCCCTGCAGCTCTAACTCTTTAAAATTTTTGGGAGTTAGAAAAAAGGGAAAAGCCTGCCCTGGGAAAAGCCTGCCCTCACAATCTCATGCCTGCAGCCAGAACCGGGCTTGAAGCAGCAGCAATGGTTCGGAGCTTGTTAAGGACCCTCCCCCCAGATCAGGAAAGTCTAGTATCTGCTGTTTTGTCAAATTTCTTTGCTGGTCCCGTTCTCTTCAAAAATCTTTGCCTCTGCCATCTTTTCTTATGCTGCAAACTTCATTCAGCAAAGCTTCAAAGTACTGACAGCTATAATAACCTTAACAAGCGCAAACAAGCTTTAACAATCACTTTCTTCTTAAGCTTCCGCTTTCAATCAGTGCCATTTTGGATCTCTTTAAAACTTTCACTCAAATCTGAAAGGACTCATTGTTCATCAGTTAAAGGAAGAAAAATACTTGCGAAAAGCTCTCCTGTTTTGTTCTGCCTGCGTAAAAATCAATCCTTGAAATCACTTGTTTCGCAGGGATGGTCGCGACGCCTTAATCGGTCAAAGACAGAATCCCGAGTCCGGAGCTGCTTTCCAGGCGTTTGGGGAGCCCTCACCCTCTGCACTTCCTGGATTAATCCTGGAGGTTTTTGGGGGCTCTACCCTATACACCTGAGCACTCACCTCCCCCTCTTTGCCCGAGGGGGAAGTTCCAGCTGCCAAAACAGCTGATTTACGCTGTTTTGGCAGTTTTACAGATCCCGGGAGTAGGAGCTCACAAAGGAGCTGCAGCGGCGCCAGCGGTGCCAGCGGAAGTCCGGCGCTCAGCCTTTCTTATGGTCCAACTTTCACAGCCATACATTGCAACTGGGAAAACCATAGCCTTGACTATACACACTTTTGTTGGCAGGGTGATGTCTCTGCTTTTTAGTATGATTTGCCATAGCTTTCCTATTAAAAGCAGCAAGCATCTTTTAATTTCTTGGCTGCAGTCCCCATCTGCAGTGATCTTGGAACCCAGGAAAATAAAATCTGTCACTACCTCCCTTTCTTCCCCATCTATTTGCCAGGAATTGAGGAGGGCAGATGCCATGAAGTTAGTTTTCTTAATATTGAGTTTCAAGTCAACTTTTGCACTTTCCTTCTTCACCTGCATCAAGAGGCTCTTCAGTTACTTTTCACTTTCTGCCATTAACGTGGTATCATCTGCATATCTGAGGTTGTTGATATGTCTCCCGGCAATCTTAATTCCAATTTTTGATTCATCTATCCCCGCCTTTCTCATGATGTGCACTGCATATAAGTTAAATACTGCAGTATACCGACAGTATACAGCCTTGCCGGACTCCTTTCCCAATTTTGAACCAATCAGTGGTTTCATGTCCAGTTCTCACTGTTGCTTGTTGACCTGCGTATAGGTTTCTCAAGAGACAAAGGTTAGATTGATTCATGTCACTATATCCCTTCAATATTTTTCAGGAACATTAACACCAACACCTCCCTGTAAGTCCTTCAGGAATTGATCAGCATAGTCCAGTGTTCAAATAGTCACAACTT